CCTACGAGTTTCTCTTTCTCTCTCCATGGTCTTTGGCCATTTGCTAACGTGCCATTTCTCCACGTGTCGTCCTCACACGTTCGAAAGGGACTCTCTGAAGTCTACCCCAAATCCGTGGATAAAATCGTTCCGAACTCTCCAAATTATGTTTTGAGTCACTGTAATTACCATTCTATCCTCTGCTTTTACTTGCATGGAAGACAAGCCAGAACCAACTTTCGTCGACTTTCCAAAGATGACAAAAGAATTACTTCAAGAAAGTCAAAAGGAGGCCAATGAGGGGCTAAGGAATGGCGACCTCTGTGACGACTGAAACTGGCGACCTTTGTGAGCTACCTCCGGACCCTGGGAAGAGTCCCGGACCATGGAAGTGATCAAAGGAAGACGGTAATCCACCACTGTCCTTTCGTGATGTTCTCATGCAGGTACAGCACAAGGGCTCATGCTATCTTGAGATCTCGGAACCAGAGTCTGAAGGCTTTGAATCAGACGAGTGGGAAGAAGATGAGCAGCAAATCCATAACCAGGGCCCTTCGAATTGTCTCCTTGTGATCAACATTAATGGGGAAACTAAAAGGAGAATTTATCAACCATGGAGGAAGTCTCTTATAGTTAAGGTTCTGGGTAAGAAAGTGGTTAAAAGACTTCACTCGCACACCAGAAATGAATTAACAAATAGGAAGCAAGACCTACTCCCTCCCATCCCAGGAATAATATCGGGGGGATCACCATATTCAGGATTCAAAGAGATATCGTACTGGTCTGGCTTTTTTCGATTGTTCCTGGTCCATCGAATAGAGTAGCAATTTATTTCCCGGGAGCACATAAATCTTTTTTTTACGATACGCAATTAACTTAACATAGTTACCCCGACAGAGTACTTTTCAGATTCAACCTACCCGCTCCTATTTTTTTTTACCTATATGACTAATAGGGGACAATCTATCTATCTTATAAAAATGAATTGCACACTACTGGATTCTCGATGTATGCGTCCCAATCCAAGGAAGGGGAATACTAATAAATAAAAGATCAAAGATCCGCTCCAACTTCTTGTGATTCGAGACTGGGGAGGGATATAGAATGAAAAAAAAAACAAGATGATGAGATTATGGAAGTACCGAGCATTTATTGCTACTGCACTGTTTATTCTAGTTTCTACTGCTTTTTTACTTTAAATAGTTGTATAGTATGAACCTTAAGTAAGTAAAAATGATTTATTTGAATGAAACTTGAGTTATTTATTAGTTCTTATCAATGATTGAATTATTGAGTCAAAAACACTTATTATTCTACATAATTTATTTATGTTAATGACTTAATTTTAAATTATTATTTTTATTCCTAAAATACAATAATTAAATTTCTCTCAACATCCCTTATTATTCCATCAGCTGAACTTTCTTCTTTTTTTTTTTTAAACTTAAGTTGCTAACATATATATATTTTTTATAATACTTTTACTTTTTATACGTTCCTTACTTTGAGTAAAATATATTCATATACATTTTGAATTCAATCTTTCATGAACTATCGTTCTTGCTTGTCTATTTCGTTCCAAATTGAGCATATAAAAAAAAAAAACAGTAATCCAAATGGGAAAGAAACATGAAACTATATTTAACTCAACAATTGAGTTTAACAAAAAATATAAATAATCGAATACTAAAGCCAATCCTCAGTGCATAATTATTGTAGAATTCATAAGCCTCATCCTCACTAGATATTACTTTCCCCAATAAATTGTCACTATCACCTTCTCTATTGACGAATTCAATATCATCTGTAAGAGAGCATATAAAAATTTCGAACAATATTTTTTTTTATCAAGATTCTTTTTTTCTAATAAATATATGAAGATGACAATGGTATAAACCAAATAATAAATGTGTGAGTGTGTGTGTGTATATATATATATAACAAGAATCATTACCCAAGTGCACAAAACTATTTAAAATAAATAAAAAAATGAAGACCTTCTTACAAAACTTTGAATAGATTAATACCTTTTTCAATTGTTGAGCTCTTTGTTGTCTTGTCTTTAACACTTCAATGGCGGAACTGAAAGATAACCCTGTTGTGCAGATAAAGCAGATGAATGATAGAAAGCTTTTTTTTTTTTCCTCAACCGATGGAATAGCAAGGGACATTAGAAAAGTTTGATTATTGTATTTTAGGAATAAAAATAATAATTTAAAGTTAAGTCATTAAAAAAAAAATCGGGGAGAATAATAAGTATTTTTGACTCAATAATAAATGCAAATACCTATTAAGAAAGATAAAAATAAAAATGAACAAAATGTCTAAATGATACAATCTCATTAAACGAGTATACCACATAAATAATATAACGTGGTGTACTGAATAATTCAGAGAGGAAAATGTTGAGTCATGAAATATTTTTGGCTCAAATTAATATTTGAGCATATAAAAGTATCATTTTATAAAAACACTGCATCCTTTTTAAAAAATTAAAGCTGGGAAGACAATAGAATATTAGTAGAATACAAGATAAATAGGCTGTTTGTTTAAAGGATTGTGAAGGATTTGAACTCAAAACAGTTTAAATTCTTATCTGATTGCATAATATTTTAAACTTAAATTTGGGTTTAAAGTTCATTTGAATCTAAAATTAAAGGTTGAATTTAATTTTATTCCCCTAAAGTTTTTAAGGTTGTAACCCAATTTACTGCTAAAAATTCATAGTTTTAATAATGTAACTAAATGTTAGTTTAAATTTTATTTCTTATTTAGACTTTACATTAAATGCCAGTTAGCATCACAGAAAACCCGCATATAGATTTAAGCCCACACAATTCGAATCCACAAAGCGAACAGAACAAAAATATAGACACATTTTACCTACTCTTCCTCTTTGCTTAATATCTGTCCAAATTTCATACATAACCCTATCTAATTTATTCAGACTTTACTGTGTATAGATATGTAGAGTTATTATAGTATATTGTAAATAATTAGAAAAAAAAATCATGAAAAGTAATTGTTCTTTCTACCTCTCTTTTGATAAATCAACGTATTGCAACTTCACCCTTTTGGTAATGCAAGAATGATTATCACGTAATGCCTCATTATTAATTACCTTGTGCATTTGTTTCCAATAACCGTCTAAAAATAAGCCACATGACTCATTTATTTTATTAATTTAAATTTTTAATTCTAATTTTATTATAATTAAAAATTTTCATAAAAAATCACATTTAATATTTTTTATTATAATAAAAAATTTTCACATAAAATTAAATTTTAACTTAAATTAAAAATTTAAATCTGAAAATTAAGGGTTTGTTCTTTTGAGTGAAAAACTCAAAAAAAAGCAACTCTAGTTACAATTTTATTGGAGTTCATGTTCTTTTAAGTTTAAACTCGAATTTAAACTCAAGTTCAAATTCAAGTTTATGACTAAAACTCGAGTTCAAGTTTCCCCTTCAATTCGAGTTCAGAAACTTGAACTCAAATTAATGAACAGTATTTTTTCTATTCTTAAAAATGCTATAACTTTTTCGTTTTAATTCTGATTGAGATGATTTTTTTTTCTATGCATTGACAACGAAAAGACGAATAAAACCCGACCCATATACCCTATTAAAATTTTTCATCAACATTGAGTTTTTATTAAAATAATATCTAAATACAAATTTAAGTTTTGATTCACTCAAACACAAACTCAAAAAGATTATTATCTCAAACCATAACTCAAATATACACAACTAAACATAAACTCAAGTTACAAGTTTAACTCAAGTTATAATTTAAATTTAACTTAAAAATTATACTCAAGTTAAACTCTAAAAGAACAAGCAAGAAGCACCCATTTTGACAATATCGATTCCAAGCAAACCGTACTCATGTCGGACACGTGGCTATTGTTAAAGACCCTAGGGCCCACAACCAAAATAAACAGGAAAGTCCTGAAGAATTTACCCAATCCCAAAGGAAACTTTTTATACAATATTTGCGAAGGGCATTATTGTCAAAGGAATTGTAAAAGAAAAGTGCTGGCTCCATTATGACCCCATTGGTTCAGCGGTTTTTATGCGGAGATGATTGAGTTGAAAGTGTTTTGGGAATAATTGAGACATGATTAGACAGTTCCCTATTCACACAGTACAAAAGAGCGCGCACTTAACCACATATTTCTTCATTTACTAAAAAGCCCTTATTAATAAGAAGAAAAAAAATTTTAGTATTTGCTAATAATTATTTAAAATAAAAAATTACAAAAATTCCCACTACACTCATTTTCTCAATTCTCTTCTCAATTCCCTTCTCGAAATTCTCCATTCCATTTCCGGCATTCGCCCTTTCATATTTTACGACGACGAAATGAGGAAACCCAAAAGAAAAAATTCAAAAGTAAATCTCTTTTTTCCACGTGTTGATAATATGCAGAGGTTCATCCTAATGCTGCTGTACATCCGGTGCAGAGGATCGTGGCCGCTTGGGCGCTGCCGCAAGCCGCCGCGTCGAGAACGGCAACCGGACTCGGCGGCGCCACCGGCTCGGCTCTCCGGTCTTTGTGGCGGCATGCTGGACACGTGTCTAACAGATAGTTCTCCATAAGTTGGTGACAGCTTCTAACCATTTCCTTTCCAAAAAGAAAAAGAAAAAGAAAAATATATATTACAATTATTATTACCACGAGAGATTTTTTGCATTTTACACTGCTTTCAATGCTCTAGAAATTCTTCGACGCAAAAAGAGCTTTAATATTAATTATTATAATACTTTGTTTACTCTCTCGTCATTGTGAAAGTAAAACGACGTCGTGGCTTCATGGCAAAGTCTCAACTGAGAATCGGAGCTTTCCCGGGCGGCGCAGAGCACCGCCGCCGCCGCAATCGACGAAGGTGTAAACCCTAAGAAATCGGTAACTGAAAACACAATAAAAGAAAACGCCGATCTTAACCATTACTAACTAATCAAAAAAGCATCGAAATTGAAAACGAAATGATATACTTTTCTTTGAGTACGAACCGCGGGTGGTGCTGAGGATGAGATCGGAGGAAGCGGAGAAGATCCGAGCAAGCAACTGAAAACACAATAAAAGAAAACGCCGATCTTAACCATTACTAACTAACCAAAAAAGCATCGAAATTGAAAACGAAATGATATACTTTTCTTTGAGTACGAACCGCGGGTGGTGCTGAGGACGAGATCGGAGGAAGCGGAGAAGATCCGAGCAAAGGAGTCTTCGCGGAGAGAGGAAGAAGAAGGAAGCTTGGAGATGAAGAAATGGAGGAAGTCGAAGGGCGTGACGGAGCGCAATCGCCAATCGAGAGTGGACATGACCCAGAGCTCCATTCTTTGAACCGTCTTGGGCTCGAACACGTACTTTGGCTCGCACATTTGGAGGTCTAATAGCAGCGGGACACGTGGCTCCTCCATCTTCGCCGCCAACGACAAGCACGCCACGGACAGCAGCTGAAACGGCCAGCCACTCGGCTTCTGCAGAAACGAAAACGAAAACGACGTTTTCAATATTCCCTAGAATTAATTAAAGAAAAATGGGGTCTTTAATGGCGTAGTATTCTTACGGGGAGAGAATGGGATGAGAGGAAGCGGTCGAAGTAGTTGATGGAGAGGAAGGCGGTGACGGGGCTGAAGCGGTGGAGGGCGTGGACCTTTAAGATCCAGTTGATGGAGTCCTGGCGGGCGGTGACGTCGACGGAGCGGTCGCGACACTGCCGGAGGTAGTCCGATTCCGGCATATATCGGACCTCCGACTCGATGAGTTCCGCCACGACGTTGTCATCGGACGGCGGAGAATGAGGGGATGAACAAGATATGTACGGAGGGTGGTGGGAGATCCACGTGTCGGCGTCGGAGGAGTTGAGGTCTGTGGCGTCCTCGGCGCAGTAGAGACTGTAGGAGGCGGAGTCCGACGACATTGTGGAGGAGTGAGGGTTTAACAGCGTGATAACGGCGGTGACGGCATTGAGGAGGGCGAGATAACAGAGGGCTGTGTGTCTGTGTGGATGATGGTAATGGAGCTGTGTATGGTCATGGCGCGGTCTTATGGGTTTGGGTAAGCCACAGTCACTCTTCTTTCTTTTTTTTTTTTTTTTTTAATTTTTTTCGTCACTCTTTCTTGCTGTATTAATTATTAGAGTTAAATTGCTTTTTTTTTTTTTTTTGCCTCTTTTTAATTTTTCCCCTCTCTCTTTACGCTCTCGGTCGGTCTGATTGCTGTGTTTTCGTTTATTTATTTTTGTTTTCAGTAAATGTATTTCGTTTTAGTTTTGTTTGTTTGTGGGTGAGTCAGGTCACTGAATGAGTGAGTGAGTGACAGTGGGGGGTGTCTCTCTCTCTAAAGAGAGAATGATGTATCAGAAACTGGAGTAAAAACTATTCAGCAAAATTTATAAATAAATAAAAAAGAGGGGCGTCATATGTGACGGTTGAATTGTGTAAACATAAGATCAATTCAATGGTGGGGATGAGACGATGAGGATGTTTGTGAAGATCATGTCATCTGTGGTGGAAAGTAAAGAAGGAAGAATGATGGAGGGAATGGTGATTTGACTATGGGCGCCAAGCACAGTAGAAAATCAAATAGGCCCAGTGGACCACCTATTCTACATAGTCCATGAGCAAATTAAGCCTAGTGATTAATCTTGTCTTTGTGATTGTGAAGCCCAGTTGGACTCCAACGCAGAGAAAATAATTTGGAGAGCCCGATTTGTGTGTTCTTTGGCATCTACCAAAACGACACATTTATGTCTTGCAATTGCAAGCGAAATATGCGTAATATGTTCACGTCACCTTTTGGTATGAAGAACTTCAGCCTTGGGTTAAAAATGTCCATGACTTAGAACATTGTTTGGCTCATCATTCTCCGTACATATTCATGGAAAATTAAATCCAAATGTTAGACGCGTGTTTTTTTTGTTAAGATCTTGATTAAATCTCACATTATTAAAATATGAACTTAACATGTAAGTTTATAATTACTTAAGCCTCGTTCGTTTCGCTGATTCGAGTTTAAAATTCGAGTTGATATGTGATTTTATATGAGAACTTTTTACTGTAATAAAAAAGTTAAATGTGACTATTTATAAGAACTTTTTACTATAGTAAAACTCGAATTCTAAACTCAAATTCGCGAAACGAACGAGGCCTTAAGCACTCTCCCTATAAGTTAATGCTCTACCCAATGATTATAACATTTTTCTAGTAGACTATTCTATTATTTATTAGCCCGAATAAAAAGGGGAGAGAATATAGCCCTATTTGTCTCTCTAGGCTGAGACATTTTAACTCGTAAAATTGTGGAAACTACAGTATTAGCCAAGCTAACTCCGTACTAGGACTATGGGATTCCCACAAGGCAGTCAGATGACCTGCACTGAATTGAATTGAATGCAATAATATAAACAGTGAAGAGATTGTGATGGATCCTATTAGAGTTCAATACTAGGGAAAATTTTATTTTGGTACCAGCATCAAGATTTCGTTTTGTAAAAGATTCATATTTTTCCTATTGAAACTTTGTGGAAAATGAAGCGACAGCTAAAAAAAAAAGAGAAAGGACGTGGAAGAAAATCACAGAGCTGGGACAACCTCAATTTCGGTGGAGCTTTCAATGGCGCAATTCAAATATTGACAACTTTTGAAGTGACAGAAAAGCCACCGTGACTGGGAAACCACTTTGGATTGTTAATTGAGTTTCTGAAAAATTACTTTTTAACTTTTAATTGAATCTCTTGAAAAGACGACCAATCTTTTGCTTTTTCAATAACAACATGTAGCGCAAAACAAAAAGTACTCCAAAGTCGGTACTTCTATTGCTTTTAAGCTTTCACTAATAATCCCGTAATAGCAGAATCATATCTATTGCTTATACGAACACAAGAAAGACTGTCACATTTTCAGCAGCTTCTAATGCTCTCCATTTATCTTACTACTGTATTTTTCCTTGCACACATCTTTTCTTAGCTCCTCATTGATTATAAGAAAGCAGCCAAAAGGTTAGTATGATGGGAAAAACCTATTCATGTTATAAGGCAGCGAGTAGAACTCCGCGCTCCTAGTATCTGCATCGAAGTACCTGAACCTTCCCCACCAGTGCCTGCCACTATCTAGCCGAGTCGATCCGTCCCTGAAACCGTGAGTGCAATCCAAGAAGAAAGCAACCATAATTGCCACTGTCGCCGCGGATGAGAATATCACTTGCATTACGTTGTTGAACTGCAATAAAAAAAAAAAGAGGTTTTGGTCTGACCCTTTCTGTAGACACCATGAGCAACAAATAAGTTGTAATTCAGATTTACTCACTGGTGTGGAACCGGTATTAACAGGACCATGCCCGGAAGTTATAAGGTATTCAAAGAAGTACTGAGGCACAGATAGACCCATGAAGAGAGAAAAGCCCAGTATGAACTTAGTTCTGAAGCTGTTGAGGTTGCAGAACTGGAGGAAACTGAGACCGGCAGAGGCTGCTCACCGTAAGGTACATTATCACAATAAAAAACTCGGTTATTTACATTTTGTGCAAAGATTAGTTAATTTTCAAAATTCAAGCATCGATTATAATGTTATGAATGTCTTAAAACTGCAACATGCTATTTACCGAGTTTTTATATTAATTATCGTCGTAAGATTGGTGACAATTTCTTGCAAAATTGATTATGTTTTATAACACGATCTTCTTTTCCATAATATATATATATATATATTTTGCAAGAAACTGTCATTAATTTAATGAAGTAGATGACCAAAAACTTAGGAGAAGACAACTAAATAGGAGGCAGAATTAGACTTTCCAACGCAACTTCATGACAAAGATATTGAGAAGAACACGCACCCACATAGGCAAACAGAACGCAATATAAAGCCGCGAAAATAGGCAAAGGTATTGAAGCGAGAATAGCCCCGAATTTTCCTGTTAGTGACGTAAATATCAACACCATCAGACCATACAGTAATGCAAGAGATTAGATGTTCGTAGTGAACAGATTGAATAACAACAGTTAGGCCAGCCAAAGCATAATGACAGAATATGGACTGTTGAATAGCATACCTAATACAGAGAAGAAAAGCATAAATGCCGCGGATATCTGAATTACTCTCCGACTTCCAACACGTGTCAATCCCAAAAGTCCCGCATTTTCACTACATAAACATAAAATTGTTAGATTATAAATTCACTCAGTCTTGATACTATATTAGGAATCCAGACGCTTATTTAAGAAAACTAAGCTAGGTATATAGGTAGTGTATAATGTACTTGCAATCATGCGAAGTGATCTTCAAAGTAATCTACAATCTTCCCAAGAAAAAACTAAAATACTTTCCAATTTCCATATTTTCTCATGTAACATGTTACGATTGAATGTAAGTATTTAGGTAAGACCGCAACATTCCATCAACTTTGGCCATGAGATATGAAAACCAGGTCAAGTTTTCACAGTTAATCATGGTCAGGCACTTTGTGCAGTGTAGTCAAGTCATATTCTCATTATACAACAAATGCTACAGAAACTGAAGAACTTAAATCTGTACACTGATGCTGTGGAGCCAATTCCTGCGCCAAATATGCCATTCAATAACGTGCCTATACCCTGAATTCCATACAGATTAACAAATTGAATCAGAACTGGAACTGTGGAAGGTACGTATAACAGTCTAATCGTACATCATGACAAAGATGAGACATTGTTGGATCACTTGAATACCTGCCAGCCAACACCTCGAGTGAGAACAGATGGCGGTGGAAGAGTGGCACTGCTATACCTTGATGCTGCAATAAAAACACCCATTGACTGCAACAAACAAATATCAAGCAAGAAAAATATGTCAAGCGCGGTTAAAAGTAATGTAGCTTAGATTAAGTACTAGAAAAAGAAAGCATTAAAATCAGATTTGTGTGTTTACAGAATAAAAGAGATACTTGACTTGTGGCATATGTATTGACAATAAGAATCTTTGCCAAGGCTGTTGCAATCATAATTTTATAAGCCGGAAAATTCTCATTTTAAACATGTTTATTGAGCAACGGTATCATTAAAACGGGTATCTTATGGTAAAAAAATAAAAAAATAAAAAAAAATGATGATTTAGCTCAATAGATCAAACCTCAACAAGGGCAACAAGAGCCGCAGCTGCCATTGCAAAAGCATCCCCGCCGTTGAAAGTAGGACCACCCCATTGAAATGGATATGGAACCCTTATCCTACACGTGTTGAAGAAACTATTATAGTCCACAAGTTCTAGGAAAAGGTGAAGAAACAACAAAGAAACAATTTATGAGCTAACCTACTTAGTCATTTTAAGATAAGTAATAATCACATTATAAATCATGGTTTTAAGTTTAAAAACTAACTTGACATTCCAAATGTTCAGTGATCTAAGCTTGAAGAAACGATAATGTATAAGCTTACCAAGGGGCTGCGCTAATGAGCCCAGAACGATCAGTGCGGCAACTAATTTGAGTGAGCGGAGATTTATTCTTATATGCACCAGCTGCAGTCAAAATTTCTGCAAATCCCCAAACTAATGCAACCGATACTAGGACAGCAAAGCGATCAAACACCTGTCTTTTCGATCCTATCATGTATGGAACATACTGCAGTAGCATCGGTTAGACATTAGAAGAAGTGTCAAGAAGTGCAAGTGACATTATTCAAAAAGCAATGTAGAAAATGTAGATTCAGTTATCCGACTTCAACACTCCTGTATCGTCTTACAATAAATGTGTTACTTGTTAAAGGTTTGAAAGAACTAATGCAAATAACTATTCCAGAGTTTCCTTTAATGTTTAAAAAAATGATAAAATTGCTGCTCACCTGGGATAAAAAAACCACAATAACCAATGTTGGAAGTCCGAGTTCAATACATCTTGCCAGCTACAAGCAACAAGCAATACATTTCATTTTAGTAAACAATGAACATCTATGCAAATTACATGTATCTTGACCTTGAACATAAATAACCCTCTACCCATACTTATACACAAAAATTCTAATCAACTGAACTTTTTCTTACGAATCATCTTAAGCATTAAACTGTTTTTAAGACGGTCTTGTTTTTTACACTTGTGATATGCTCCCCAAATAGACGATTGAAGAAGAAAAGCCGCAAGGAATTTGGGATTTCTAAATTCTATGTCTAAACAAGAAAAGTCAGTTATGTTTTTCCTTTTCTTTTTTTCCCTAATGACAAGGATACATCTTAGTCCACTGGAAACAGATCTGAGAACTCTTAATCTAAAAGAAGAAATAGAAGTTGTTCGATAAACAAGTATTATGTTACTCGTACCATAATGGTGTGACAGGTTAAGCATTCTTACATTTGGAAAACCAAGCGCATAGAGCCCAAGTCCAGTTAGCGTCACAAGAGGAATGGCACCAAGAGGACTCAGAAACCTATCATATATGACGAGACCAAGATCTTTGATCAGATAAATGAACAACCAATGTGCACATCGTCGAAGATAGACGGAGTTTCCACACAACCTACCTCGCAAAGATTCTCACAAAGCCAATGAATCCCAGGAGAATTTGAACAGCAGATGCAACAATTAGTGCTCCTTGTACAGCTCGCATGGTTTGTTTAAACCTCTAAAAAATACAACGTAAAATGACTTTGTAAATATGCAAAAACTTAGGCGAATCATATCCAATACTCATCTCTAAAGGGTCCACGGAGCTAAAGAAATCAATATATTCTACAAATACGTTTAGAAAGAGTGACAGCAAGGTCCTACTTCCTGAAAATCTCTTTTCCTTTTTCTTTCATTCTTTCTAGCAAATAACAAAGAGAGGCTTCATAAGCACATACTTTGTTACCATCTTTTCATTATGGCAACAAACAAGTAGAGCTAAAGGAATTTCTGTATGCTACAAATACATTCAGATAGAGTGATACGAATGTCCTTTCCCAATTTCCGCTTCCCGTAGATCTTTTTTATTTTATTTTATTTTTATCTTTTCTTACTTCCTTTCTAACAAGCAACAAAAAAAGTGATCATAAATACTTTTCTTTCAGCATCCATTTTCATTATGACAAATAACCAACAGAGGGAAGAAAACAAATGGGAAAATGGGTTGTGCTAGACCAACCTGATGGGGATTAAATTCATATCTGTAAAATCTCCTGTGATGAGAGGCAGATATGGCAGGGATAATGAAAGCATAGGAACCCCCCATCACCACCGGAAGCCTAGTGCCAACCCAAGTCTGCAAGAGGGTGTTTATACCAGCAACAAAGAGCAAAGTCTCTATAACTTGAGCCTTCTCCACCTATTTTTATTTTTTTTAATATTAATTACAGATAGAAATTAATCAATTATCGTCAAATTGGAGTAAGAAACAAAGAAAAACTCAAAAATGGAAAATGGAATGCAAAAAAGATTTTAGTCTCTCTAGAGCGTCTTACGTTGCCACCACCCATCAAAGGAACAAGTAGTGTGGGGATGAAAACAGTGGTTCCAAGCATCACCAGGAAGTGTTGAAATCCCAGAATTATTGCCTCAGCTACAAAAAAAAACAAAAGAAGTTCGAAAAATTGTTTGGAACTTACTTCTAGTTTATCAAATTCATGAGAATACATAATAAAACCATAAGGAACCAGGCTGGTGGCAAGAGGAATACGTGAAGCACGAGAAAAAAAGGAAAATGAAGATTGTCTCAGCAACCAAACAAGATTTAGCATAAGCTAGAAGACCATTATCGAGATTGACGAACTTGCGAGCGACATAATATATTAATACACCAACTCCAACGAGAACAAATGCAATCAGAATTAGTGAAGTACTACGAAAATGGAGTACCATAATAAGAACAGAACTATAACAAAGAGAGCCATGAAAATCTAACAAAAAATAGTGTCAGCTATGGTTTTTGTAAGTAAGACTACGTAGAGAAAACAGAGCAAGTAACGAGAAAACTGGAAGTGGACAGCAAATGGAGCAACGCTCAAACGAAGAGAAAGAATCTTTTTAGGAACATAAAGAACAAAAAATAGAAATAGACCTTTCCTTATAATTTTTTTCTCGGCTACCAAACAAGACCAGAACAAAACCGGGAGAAACTTTTCCTACGGTGAATACTATACCGTCCGGATTGACGAACTTGCAAGAGATATACATCGTAGTACACTCTTGAAAAAAAAAAAAGAAAGAAAGGCGTGTGTACGAGGCAACTCGAACGCTAACAAAAACAAAAACATAACAAATAAGAAATGACGGAAGATCATCACAAACGTCGAACCTATTCGGATTCACCGTAAAAACAGAGACCGGAATCAAAACAAAGTGAGCCAGATTCTGAGGAAACTGGAAAAACAAACGCAAGAAAAAAGAAAGAAAGATAAAATAAAACAATGTTCAGAGAGAGAGAGATGTACGCCAAGGAGGAGAACTGTTGAGGCAGAAATCAACGCCGGGAAGCTGTTCCTTGACGGGATGAGGATGAAACTCATCAATCTTCGGCGGTCCTCCCGCCATTGTTGTATCTGTAAATGTGGCTTGAGGAGCAGAGAAAATGAAGAAGAAAGAAGTTTGCCTGAAGAAGAAGAAGAAGAAGAAGAAGAAGAAGAAAGATAGGAAAATGGAAGCGAAAAGGAGAGAAAGAGAGAGGAGTGATAAACTGATGATAATGAGAGTGAAGACCAATTCGAAGGAGCTAAAGAGAACGATATTAGGCGGCGAAGTTATGACAATATTTCAGAAGCTGCCTTGCCTTGCCTGTCACTTCTCACCATCTTTTCTTTTCTTGCTTTTCTTTTCTTCTTTGGTTTATTACATTGCAGTATTTTTTGCCATTTTAGTGGGGCTACTTGGGCTACTTTCTTCCGTTTTTCCACTGCCACGCGCGCCAGCCATTTTCTTCTTCTTAGCTCTACCAACCGCCCTCTACCTCAAGCAATGCTCCCTCTCTCTCTCTCTCTTACATGGAGTTATTGTTGTTTTTTTTTTCTTTTCTTTTTTTTCGTAATGGGGTGTTTTCTTATCAAACAAGAGATTGAACATGTTCAATACCTTTTTAAGGTAGCATTTTCCAGCTAAATTAGTTGTTGTGTTTGATTTTGATACATAATTAACGCAATTGGGAAAAAAGAAAGCACTGTAGTCTTCCATAATTTTAACTTATTACGTTGTTATTTACTTTTGCTAATGTTTGTGAAAGTAACGTTTATCGGTTTATAATACCCTTTCTAGTCATTCGATTCTAAACTATTTCTATTTTTCTTGTTTCTTTTGAGATCAATTCTTAACTAAAATTGGTCTTATTCATCAACAAGGAAAATTTTCTAAACTTGTTTTTACATGATAATAATAGAAGAGATTACTTGTTGTGTATATTCCCAAAAAAAAAAAAAGGCAAAAATAGAAGAAGGAATCACGTGATTTGAGGCATAATGAGGAAGAGGAATACTACTATAAGTACGACGATAAGAACTGGCACTGCGTATCTCAGTGACAGACATCTCCCAGGACCCCACCGGGCCAAAAATGCCCTGCAGCTTGTCCACAGACTAGGTGGCAATCCACGTGTCAGAAGTAAAAATACCCAATAAAAAAAATTGGATGTAGATAACTTGGCATTTCATGGAAGAATTGATGGTTTTGTTGCTTGCGTACTTTCCAACAAAAAGCAAAAAACTAATTTGGAGAAAAAAAAGTTATCTGGTTTTTTTTTTTTCAAAAAAAAAAAAAAAGAAGAAGAAGAAGAAGAAAAATATAGAGCTGGGGACTATTTTAATCACACACTTGGGAGCCAAAAGAAGGTGCAACAACCATGGATTATTTTCTCCGGCGGTTGTCCGTTGGGTTATGTTTTGGTGAACTATATTTAACTAATGAAAATTTGGAGAAAAATTTGACTAAAAAAGTTTTTTTCCAAAAAAAAAAAACAGAATGAAGAAGAAAAATATAGAGCTGGGGACTATTATTAGTCACACACTTGGTTCTAAGAGGGGAACATTGACGCCAACCTTATATTTTTGAACATGGGGGCGTTAAGAGATGGAAATCTTGGAGCGTTCTTTTAACAACCAAACTTCTTTTTTTCTCTTTTTTTGGTGGAGTAACCAAAGTTCCATTTCACTATGATAAAAAAGATCATTTAATTCATTGGTATGTGTAGTCGAGACCTCAACTCAAGTCTGATATTTTTAGATCTTATTCATTTCATTTCGAATTAAAAATTGGAACGGGCCCTAAAAATTTTATACTAATTGGACGTTCTAATTACTTTTCATTCCAATAAGTAATTAATATTGATCATGGTACAAGAAAATAAACAAACAAACAAATATGACTGGGAACTAACTCTCTGCAAAATTTCATCCAATGCTAAAAAGAGCATTCTTTAACTTTTAAATCTTGAACGTACACTTAGATCAATAAAAAACAGGACTCTACCACCGTCCACTTTAATAATTTAAAAGGATTTCATGAAAAAAAAAAAAAAAAATCCATGGTATGGGACAAGGATTGAAGAATGGAGAATATAAATGTTATAGAACATGTAGATATTTTAAACCGTTTATTAATAAATATTTAGTTCGTTAATTCAGGTTGAAATGTGACTTTATATGAGAAGTTTTTACTGTAATAAAAAAATTAAATATAATTATTTTTTAGAATTTTTTACTATAATAAAACTCAAATTTTAAACTCAAATTGATAAAATGAACGGAGAAAAAAAAGCAAGCAGAGGTGCACGGGTTCAAAATTCAGGGAGAGAATCGCTTGTTTGCGGGGGAGGGAGGGAAGAGATAAATAAAATGAAAAGGAAAAAGTTGGCCCTAATTTTATTATCCTTTTCTGGCCCTAGAGATAATTGGGCCAGAAAAGAAGTATTGTTAACCTTCATAGTTATGGAAAATGGTGCAGCATTACAATTCTCATAAAGACACTAGAAAGTGCACGTTTGCTTTGTGGATGGATATTGCTGTCGATGATGAAAATGCATGAGTTCTGATTAATGGAATTTTGGGAAAAACGTAAGGCTGTTCATGGGTTGGGTTGGTGTGGAATAGGTTTTTTTTTTTCCTGCCCCAAAGGGTGCGGGTTGCACATATTTAGCCCCAACGATGCTAACAAAATTTCACAACCCAACGATGTTCGGGTTGGGTTGGGGCGGTGCGGGGTGAGTTGGGTGATCGGTTTTAACATTTAAAAAATTAAAGACTTAAAGTTCAATATAATATTCAAATTTCATCATTAAATAAAAATAGCAACCATCTTTATCAGTCCATCTAACATCAAACATGAAACAAAATAGTCCATCCAACATCAAATACAAAGCAAACATAAATTAGTCTACACTTATAAATTAGTCTTAACATAAAACAAATAGCTTAAGCAAAGCAAACATAGAGGCTTAAATCTTAATTCAAATCCATCAAAAGCAAGCATTGCAACATCAAGCATATTTATCAATCCACACTCATAGGCTCCTCAATGGTTGTAGTAGGACATAAAGTTGAGTTATCTACAAGAGAAATGAAAATAACTTAAGTAATAATTTGGATAGTTTAGAGTTCATATAATAAAATAGATTAAGATACATACAAATTATTGTCTTTCCTAGAGATGTCTTACCTAATGTCAGCGAGCCTAGGGTAGAACTTGGGCAGGTTGGGCTTAGGCCGAAAGCTTGGGGGTATCTTGTGCGGGATGGGTTGGGGATTGCGGGTTGTTATGAGCCCAACCCGCAATCCGTCCTAAACACTTCGGGCCAGAGGTATAATGAGCCGAAAATTTAAAAATAATACTGCGGGTTATTTTTTTCGGCTTGGGTTGGGGCGGGGTGGGTTGAGTTTGCGGGTTGTTCGGGTTTATAAACAGCCCTAGGAAAAAGAATGGGGAGGAATGCTTTTTTGTTTTTTTTTTTTTTTTTTAATTTTCCTTTTTAGTCATTTTACTAAAGGGGTGCTTTTATAGTTTTTAGGGATGTGAACTTGGCTCTAAACCGTGGTTGATGATCAGTAGGGACGAAATCCTGTCACTTTTAAAACTCGGCTCTAAAACTGTAATTTTAAAACATTATTATCAGGGAAAATGGAGTAAATAGTAAATTTATAGTAAATAATACAAGTAAATAGCGGTAAAATAAAAATTTACATGTTAAAAAAATATTTTTATCATGTAAATCTAGTTCTTAATTAAAAAGAAAAATTTACGCGGTAAAAAATCTTTTTACTATGATAAATTTAAATTTACGAGCTAAAAAGCTTTTTATTGTTATTTATTTTAAATTTTTTAAAATTTTTTATTTATTTAATTTAGTTTTAAAATATACTATTTACTATAATTTTTGTTATTATTATGTAAACAGACGTAAAGAAAACCATCACGAGATATTGGAAACTCTCTCTTAAAATAAAGGTCGGGAACTTTCCCCATCAAAATAAAAGAATTTGGAACTTGCATTTTCAACAACTATTTCTTAACCAAAAAATAAACTCCCAAATAAAAATGAAAGGTCATAAGAAAAACTAGTGGAGCACTCTTCCTCTCTTCCTTTTAAGCTAAGAAATCTTAAATTTAGGTAAGAATACATTTTCCTCCCACAATATTTATTTATTTTTCATCTACAAATAAATCTGATTCAATCATATTTTAATTAGATCAGTTCTACTCACAGCCTTGCATACATCTCCCTCTAACTTGTATAATGTTTTATAATAATAGAAACGTTATTATCATCAGAATATTTTAGAATATTTATTCACAACTTCCATTTGCCTATCTCTGAGCTAATTCATTATTTTTTCAGTTTCCTTCGTCTTATGCACACATTCGTACAGCTATAACCCAACATTTTCAAACACTCATAAATATAAAAAGACCTTCTCTTCGACGACGTGGACACGGGGTATCCGGGCGATCCAAGAGAAATGCACAAGAATATGCCCTCCACAACGGTTCAAGATTAGTGGTGGAACTTTGGGCTGGCGGGCAGGCCCATATGCCGGCCTGTCCAAAGTGGTAAATTTGGACTCGGGCTCGGGCAGTTTGAATTTGGACATCACGTCGGAGCCAGTTGCCGTGTAGGCACCGTCAACCGCCATCCGTCGGAGTTTTTTTTTTGAATTTTTCCGGGCAAGCCCGACTTGCCCGAAAAACGGTCAAAATTCCGACCGTTGGTGCCCGACCCGAAAACCCAAAATTTACACAAATGCCCGAAAACCCATCCAACGGCTAGTTTTTTTTTACTAAACTAGCCCAAACCCGACCCATCGATTCCTAAAGTAGTTGTTGCACCCCGAATTTTTTGAAAAAAAAAATCAATTTTTTAACCTAAAAATTTCTCATCCCCCACACATTTTTCTCACTCAAACTCTCTCGATCCCTCTCAATTTCTCTCAATCTCTCTCAATCTCTCAATTTTACCGGCAAACTAAGAATGGATCGATAAATTTAATCGATTAACATTTAATTTTGAAGACGATCCTTCAGCTTTAAATTAAATTGTAAATTTGTAATTTGTAAATATGTATTTACTTTTGACATTGTATTTGTAATTGTATAACTTTGTAAGTTTGTAAAATTTGTAATTCGTCACAAAATGATTGCACTCTTTTTTCCTTGCCAAGTTTTTATCCCAATTAAATTTTTCTTGGTAAGGTTTTTAACAAGGCAATCATGAATTACGAATTTAATATACATAATTAATATACATGATTAATTTATTCAATTGTGTTAATAATGTCTATTGAATGTTGATTTTGATTTTTATATAATTTTAATACAAACTAACTTAATAATTATAAAAATTAAAAAATATTTAAAAAAAATTTCGGGCTATTCGAGCGAGCTCGGGCTGTCCGGCCGGGTTCGGGCAGCCAAATATAAGCCCCCGGCCCATTCAAGGGCATTTTCATGCTCGGGCGGGTGGCCCAAATTTTTCGGGTG